CCAATTTATAGTTTGGGAGCTGCACTTGCTTAAAATATGGAATTTCAGGCGGAATTTACTCTTAAGAAGCTCACGGCTTAAGATTTTACAACAAGTGAAACTTTTCGACCCGAGGATTTCTGGACAGAGCAGACTGAAAATACATTTTTTGTTGTTGTTTTATTTTAAATGCAAAATGTTTATAGTTTTTCCTTTACAATTCTGGTATAATTATATGTATTATATATATTATAATTAGCTGACAATTATTATTTGAATAATCAATTATTCCGATGAATTGTTTCAGCCCTAAATCCGACGCATCCCACCTGCAGACCAGCTCCCCATCCATGGCGTCCTGCTCGTCTGTACTTGCGAACGACACCCGTCCTCCGATCACCGCCCCGATGATGTAAACCAGCCACGTCAGGCGACCTGCACCCAGAGGAGAGGGACTCAGACTCTGCCTAAGCCACAGGGAGGCGTGGCTTTAGATGTGTCGGCCAGCCGTACCCTCCTGGACCGTGACATCAGCTGCGCTGGAGTTGGTGGACTGAAGGAGCTCCTGGTACGTCTGCGCCGCTTGGTCAAAGAGCTGCACCAGCAGAGCGCACGTCTTCTCATACTCACACCTGCCGATGGTGGATAACTGGTCCAACTGCTGCTGGACCAGTCCGGCATCGTCCAGCGGGTCCTCTAAGCCGTCTCTGTGGAGAGAAGACCCTTTCATTTGGCTACTGGGTCCGGTCACCAGCAGGGCGGCTTCTGCAGGACCTACCTGAGGATGACGTGGACCGACTCGAGCCGGGACGTGATGTAGGCCTTGGTCACCTCTGGGGTGTAGGTCTCCAGCAGGTGCGGCTCGGTGGCTTTGACGTAGGGGACAGACGCTGCCAGGCGCTGCCACAGACTCAGCAGGTAGTGGACGCTGTTGGGGGCAAACTCCCAGTGCTGGAAGACAGAACCACAGAGAGCCATAGAAACCAGGACTTCCTGTCTGAAACGGGGCAGAGCGGAAGCTCAAAGGCTCACCTGCAGGCTGGTGACGGTGAAGTTGGCGATGAGACGGATCACCTCCGGGTAATTCTCCACTTTGACCAGCTCGCCCAGCTGGTAGTTGCTCTTCAGCCTCGCCAGCAGGCGGCAGAACTCGTGGTAGTTGTTGGGATCTGGCAAACACTGTCACACACAAATACATCACAGCACTGGAGCGGTCCGGGCGGCGGCGGCCGACCACATCATGTGACCTCCGTACCTGAGGGTTGGCCAGTATCCTCTTCACGCCGTCCACTAGGTGCGAGAGGAACTTGGCCCGCTCTGCGTTGTTGAAGAGAGACCTCCGGACGGAGGCAATCTGAACCAAACAGGACAGCACCTGGACAGAGACAACGAGCAGCCAGGAATAGAACCAGCAACCTTCCTGATCAGTCTACATGTCGGGTCACACTGTTGCTCCCACTTACCAGCGGGGACAGAGATGGAGGGAGGGAATGATACAAGTTGAAAAACAGCTGCAGGGTGGAGGAATCAAGGAACGCTGCAGGAAAAACAAAAGATGCAAAAAGTTGTGTTTAGACGCTGTTCTGGTCGGTTAAATAAGATCATAGGATGTTAAATAAGATCATAGGATGTTAAATAAGATCATAGGATGTTAAATAAGATCATAGGATGTTAAATAAGATCATAAGATTTAAAACTGACAGACTTTAACTCCTTATATGGCAAGTTAGCGTTGTTGATCAATTGGATACCCTTTACTCCTGGAGAGAAATATCAGCTGTGCTTCTGCCATCAACACCTTTGTTTCTAGATGTTGGAGCTTGACCTGTTTTCCAGTGTAGTCCTGTTTCTCTGACTGTGACTAACTGGATGTGCTCTCTTCACCCTCTGACATTGAAGCTGGCTTAGAACTCGTCTGCCTGGCTGCCCCGTCCCTCAGTGAGGTCTATAAGCGAAATATCTATATCCAGCTGTTCGATAAAGATCCTGCTACATGGCTGTACGTCTTATTTTGGCATTTAACCAAATAGATGAGTCCTTGAATGATATATTACCTACTGGAAATTAAGTTGAAAAAAAAGTTAACAAGTCAAGAAATAAAGGTAAAAAAAGTTAAGTTAATAAGCCTAGTTAACAATTATATTAAGATTTATAAACTAATAATGTAAGGCTACGTTCACACTGCGGGCTTTGATGCTCAATTCCTTTTTTTTTTTTGAGAAAACCAATTTTTTTGCGTTGCTGTTAATATTTCCAAATGTATGCGACTTCTATGTGATCTCCTGTGTGAACTGCAGTCATACAACGCAAGTGTCCCGCATGCGCAGTAGAGGACGCAACGACGTCACAGACCAGCATGCTCTTTTTTCCTGGAAGTAAACATGGATGGCAGTGCCGGCGCGCATCTAGCAATCTTTTCCAACCATAAAAACACAATCTTTTCTATATGTTTAAACATAAATAATGCTCTCCGCTTCATCATCTGCCATGGTTGTTGTTTTTCTTGCTGCTTCTGCGTAACAAGACGCAGGTCGCATTTGTAAAGATCAGATTCGTATCGGATTCAGGACCATAGAGACAAGTGGCCTGGGTAGGACTGGAAAAAATCAGACTGTCATGAAAAGATCAGATCCAGGTCGCATATGGGCAAAAAAATCTGATTTGGGCGACTTCAGGCTGCGGTGTGAACGTAGCCTGAGTGACAGTATCAGCATTAATGCCTTTAAGGTTATGAACTGTAAAGTGCCTTGAGATGACGTGTTGTTAATTGGTGCTATATAAATAAACTTAATTGAATTGAATATATAAAAAACACGGCAAAATCCTTCATCATCTTTACCAAAATTCCTCCTCGTTTTCCAGCCACTTTGGTTGAAATTAGCATTTTCCCATTCCCTAGCTTTTTCTCCGCCTTAACTTGTTTTCCAAAGCTTTCCAGAACCAGTTTTATCTGATATATCTGACAAAATTGTTCTCATAAACTTTTTTATTATTTTTTAATAAAGCATTTTAAATACCACGATAATTGTATTTAATGAATTTTAATGCCAAGGCCTTAATTCACTGACTTTTAAAGACCCGCGGAGACCATGTTATATGCTGTACCAAAAAAACAAAATGTATTTCTTTTACTCTCAGCGTTTTTCATGAATTTTTTTTATAGAAGCACTTTTGTTAACGTATTCAGGCAAGTTGGCGTTTCTTGTTATTACATTGACATCAATTTTTACCATCAAATTGTCAATATTTTTGAATGTTACAAAGGAAATAAGGTCTTTTCACTGAGTGACCTATAAAGGAGTGGAGCTGCAGGCTCACTCACCTGATCTCCAGGACGTTGGAATCTGTACAGTGCAAAGGTCATCTGATGACTCGTCTGTGGAAGTTCCTATGAAGTCAAAGTTGAGGCAATTGTAGCTGAGCTTGAGGAGCTGCATCAGCAGGCCGTGCTGCGACTCATCATTCAGGTTCAGGTTCTTTCCTGAAGCCTGGAACCAGAACAGAAAGTCCAGATTCATTAGAAGGCAGAACTAATGAAACCTCCGCCGAGCTGCAAATTTTACCCAAAAATGTGATTTACAGCTATAGCTAGAATTCGTTGATGATCTGGATCATTACCAAATGTTACCAAACTGTTCCTCAGCATGAGGCACACCTCTGATAAAAATATTCCTTAAAATCAGTTAAAAACTTTTGAATTCCTGCTAACAAACCAACAACGTTCCTTTTTCTTGTGTTTTTGTCTTCAGTAAAATACCTGCAGATTTTT